GTCCCAAAAATGGTTTCATAACTCAAACATACTTTACACAATACAAATATTAGTCTGCATACTCTTAGCACTGATTTACTGCAGAAAACTTAATGATCTTGTGAGGTAATGAGACACACTCATAACATGGGTGGAGTGATCCTTGGTTTATGCAGCATGTGCAGTATACTGTATGTATGAGCCCAAAGACCACGAACACAAATTAACATATACAAAATACATTGATATGAAGCAGGTACCACTAACCATAGGAACCCAAATTAAACATAATTTCAAAGTTATAAGTGGCATATTTCAACAAAACCTACAGTATAATTGGTTTTGCCAATACAAGGAGCAGGTGCATAAACATAAGAAGTTGTAGGCATTATAAAGGAATTGTGTGTTGGGTGGGAAGGAAGGGGTATGACCGTGGGATATTTTTTTTTAGAGTAGCACAAGTGAAAATGAAAGTAGGTTCCATAGGCAATGACTTCCCATTAGAGACAGTGAGGCTACAACACACTATGCCTTCAGTATGCATGCACGGCTGGCAATGTACTTGACCACCTACACTTCTCCCAAACTGTAAATTTGTTTACCTAATTACAGCTTGGTGGACTGAGAATGCCCCGGGGATCGAACCAGCATCCCATAGGGCAGGGGGCAAGCACTGTACTCACTTGGTCACCATGCATACTGTACTTAATACTGACGCTATGAGTTTAAATGAACAAAAATAACTCTTGCATGGAGCACCATGCCATTGTTCTTTGGAATGCTTGATGCAGATGAGCAAATGGTTCACCTCTATTTGACAAGTTTTTTGTTCACTGTGTGTTAAATATTTTACGAAAGTTTTCAGTTTTTTTTTAATTTCTATTAATTTGACTTATCAAAAAGTGCTAAGTACTGCATTTTGTGGCATATAAAACACTGGTTGGATTGTAAATAAAATCAAAGCAAATTAAGCCAGCTACACACACACACGTTACGGAAAATTTGTGCAACCGGTGATTGCCACTGATCAGCTCGCTAGCCGCTTGGGCAGTCGGTCACGTCTCTGATACGTACTGTTGGCAGATACTGTGCATGCACTGGCTCCTGAATATATCGAAACCTACACCACTGTTGGTCAAGTCTGGTCTTGAATGAGCTCACACTCGGTGACGTCACAACACTCTCCGGTATATTGTTCCAAGAGTTCACAACTCTCACTCAGAAAAAAATTGCCCTCACCCGTAGTGGGGCAGACGTCCGCCATCTCCAGGCATGTACATTCGACCTAGTAGTGCCCCCCCCGAGATGTTTAAACACTTCGATTAGGTCGCTCCTCGCCCGTCTGTAGTATAAGCTAGGCATTTGCAAGCGTTCTAATCTCTAGGGGTAGCTGAGGTTCCGTAGAGCAGGCACCAATCCTTTGGACATTTTCAATCAATTGACAGTCCATATAGCATACCTCGGGGACCAGACGGGGTGACAGTACTCCAGACAGGGAAGCATCTCACTCTTGAAGATCGTGACGAGTGACGGACCATCCAGATATCAAAACGACCTTCTTATAAGACCCACTAGTTTCGTTGCTTGATTCACCTTCTTCTCACAATGGCCTGAGAACCTAAGTTCATTGTCGACATACACACCCAAATCCTTTTCACATTCGGTCTCAATTAATGCAATCTCTTCATCCTGTTGGGACATATGATACGCCTCCTTTCTCTTGGTGCGACCCAGGTGCAACTTTTTGCACTTCGTGATGTTGAATTTTAGCAGCCATTTCCTCGACCATTGATGACGCTCATAAGAGATCTTTCTGCAGCTCTTCACAGCCTGTTTGGTTCTTTATTTCCCTAAACAACTTGGCTCATCATCCACAAACATTTGTATGGAGGAGTGTATAGCTTCTGGCTTGTCATGAATGAAGCAAACAACAATGGGCCCAATACACTGCCCTGTGGTACCCAGCTAGTCACAGGTACACATGGTGATTTTGTACCATTTACCACCACACACTGTTTGCGGTCATGCAGAAAGTCTCTGATCCACGCTAGGACACTTCCTCGACTCCTGTACCCTTCCAGTTTAATTCTCAGCCTTTCATGGGGTACACTGTCAAAAACCTTGGCAAAATCTAGGAATACATATTGTCGATATTTCCGCCTTGTTCTAGAATTTGAGTCCAAACATCTAATACCTTAAGTAATTGTGTTAAGCTCAAAACGAGCTTGTGATGCAGGCTTGTAGGCCAAATGGTGTTATGATAATACAGGATGGCCTACCATCTTTTGTAGTAGATGTTACTGTCACTGTCCCCTCCCTCCATGAAGGAGGGGTTGTACACGCGCTCTACACTATACATACGCCTCTACACACAAGCCTACAGTGGGCATACACAGTCCACTCTGCTATACACAACACTGTACATATAGTACTTTCACACTTAAGTTTACTTTAACCTCTTCACCGATGCTTGTTAGTTGTCTTCTGACCTCACTAGAGGAAAGGTCACAGCGGCTTAGCTCCCGTGGATCAATTGTCAGTAATGGCTAGTGCTACTTGTGAACAGGGCTGTGCCCTTCTGAGGGCCGAGTTAGGGAAGGTCAAAGAAGAAAACTTGAAATTAAAGGAAGAGATAGCGAGGATGAAGGAATAAATTAGACAAGGAAAGCCCCCTGTCTGACGAAAACTCAGGCAAATGGGAGGTTGTGAGGAGAGGGACGACCAAACTGGTGGTAAAAAAACCCACCAAGGATACGACATCCACAGCTAAGTGTACCAACTCTTTCAGTCCTTTGATATACGAATTGGACGTTAGCATAGTCAGGGACAAGGCTGACAAGGAAGGTACGGAAACCTAATTGTTGGCGATTCTCAGGTACGGTATACCTGGACAGAGCTTTTTGTGGTAAAAATAAAAATAGGATGAGGGTGTGTTTGCCAGGAGCTGGGGTGGAGGATATAGTTGACAGGATGGACAATATCTTGTCTGGTAATGGGAACAAACCAATTATCTGCCTCAGTGCAGGAGGCAATGATATTGGCCGGTGTAGGAGTGAGAAGCATCTTGACAAGTTCAAGACAGCTATAGAACGTATTAGGACTAAGGGAGGGATCCCTATCATATGTGGTGTCTTGCCTAGAAGGAGAGTTGGCAATGAATGGTTGTCAAGGGCAGTTGGTGTCAACTGCCGTCTTGACAGATATTGCAAGTCAATATCAGTCCCATTCATTGACAACTGGGGCAACTTCTATGGCAGAAGGGATCTTTATGCTAGGGATGGGGTGGCAACCCTGGCTGGGTCTCTCAAGAGGGCAGTTCAAAAGATGTCGAAGTCTTTAAACTGCTAGGGGAACATATGAGCACGGGGGTGGAGGAGACTGCAGTGGGAGCGGGTAAACAAAGTGAAAGGTTACAGGACAATAATGCTAGGAATTATGACAAAACTAAATTAGGCAGGGAGTTAAAACCTAAACGCGACAAAAAGAGGACTCAGAACACGACTAACTTAAATATCTACTACGCAAACAGTAGAAGTATGAGAAACAAAATGGATGATATTAGGGCCTTGGTATGTACCGAAAAAAATCGATATAATAGCATTTACCGAAACATGGATAAACCTAGACTCACGTGAGTTACCTGTTGAATACCAAATTGCAGGTTACAAATTATTCCATACCGATAGGCAGATTAAGAAAGGAGGCGGAGTAGCAATCTATGTCAGGGATAATCTTAAGTGTGAAATAAATAAGGACATAAAAACTGAGCGGAATTAATCGATGGTAGGGAAAAATTAATCACAGGTGTAATATATAGACCTCCTAATCTTGATAGAGTTAATGAGCGACTTATTTGGGATGAAATGTGCAGGGCTTCAATACATAGCAAAGTCTGTACAGTAAGCGACTTTAACTTTAGCCAAATAGATTGGATTGACCTTACGGGTAACTCGGAATCAGAGGATTTTCTTGAAACGATCCAGGACTGTTTCCTAAGTCAACATATAACCGAACCCACCCGGGGTAATAATATACTCGATTTAGCTCTGTCAAACAGAGAAAACCTCATTAGTAATGTCGAGGTAGGAAACGAACTTGCTAACAGCAATCACAAAGAAATTAGATTCCAGTTAGAATTTCAGGGCAGCCGCAAGGGAAATTCTACTAAAGTCCCAGATTTCAGAAGGGCAAACTTTGATAGTTTAAAGAGGCAGCTGAGAGAAGGGGTATCTCGCTTGGGGGTGAATAACATGACCTCACACATGTACCCACAGAGGGCGACCTCACCCTACCCAGAGACCTGACGGTTGAGAATGACCTGATAACGAGATCTGAGGTTGCGAGTTCCACGACAATTTAAATAATGAGTTACTTACTCCACAAAGGCAGAACATACCATACAAAAAACTCAGATTAAACAACAATAACCCTAAATGGATAAATAATTATTTAAAGAACATTATTGGACAAAGGAAGTCTATAGGTAGGAGAATAAATCATGGTAAAGTTTACCTCCGAGATTACCATAAGGTATTGGACGGTAGGGTTAAGACCGAGATATGAAAAGCGAAGAGGAATTATGAACGGAAGATAGCAGGGGAGGCGAAAACAAACCCCCAAAGGATTCTACCAAATGTATCAAACCAAAACACGAGATCAGATTGGACCAATACGTTCAGATACCGGCGAGCTAACTGATAACGACGGAGAAATGAGCAATAATCTGAATAAATATTTTTCAACAGTTTTCACCACCGAAAATTTAAACCCGAGGCACCGATTCTATACAGAAATAGTGAAGAAAATAAATTAAGCGAGATTGTAGTGACTAGTAACGATGTTAGTAAGCAAATAGACAAACTAAAGCCTAATATGTCACCAGGTCCAATGAGATATTTGCCAGAGTATTAAAGGAATGTAAGAAAAAGCTTAGTATGCCCTTAGCAAAGTTGTTTAACATGTCCTTAAAAACAGGTGTAGTACCAGAATCCTGGAGGATAGCGAATGTAATACCGATTTTCAAGAAGGGAGATAGATTACTATCCTCTAACTACCGTCCAATCAGTCTCACATCAATTGTAGGCAAATTACTGGAAGCAATCATTTCAAACTATTCGAAATCACCTGGAGAAGCACAAGTTGATTACTGTATATAAGAATAAGTGTATAAAACATTTTCAATTAGCATGTTAAAATAGGTAGATGGAGTCAAACTAATAAATTATGAGGGCATATTTCTGGTTCGGTGCAACCAGTCAGGCTATGATTGTGTTGGAAGCATTTCTGCAGCACACATACCCCAAGTTTTGGGACAAAACCATTTCTGGGAGTCAAGGTATTGTACTGTCCTGCCTTGTCTATTTGCCAATAGTTTGTTCCCTTTCTAAATGGCATTTACTATGAACAGTGCTACAGTGGAATCCTGATAATTCATGAAGTACAAATTTGTACAGGCTATCCTTAAATTCGCGGGTACTTCTATTACGAATTTCTTTTAAATTTCGCGATAAAAACTTTATAATTTGAGACAATTATAATATAAAGATATAAAAAAAAGAAAACATGAATTGTGTGAGGGAGAGATGTGTGGCTGGCCCCTTCATTACTACAGTATGCAATTGCACCATAATTCCTATATTATTTGCATTCATTTGGTGGTGGTATAATAAAATAAAAATATTGTATAATAAGGAATTTTCCTGAGAAAATAAACCCTACACTCAACCCCTTACGTGTTATTCAGTTGTGTTAAATTCTTGGTGAACAGCTGACAAGCCAGCCAGTCTCTGTGTTGGTTTAAAGGTGTTACCCAGAGGATGATTATGAGAATGGAAGAAGCTGTTTATGTAATATAAAACTACCTTTGGTATAATAGCTGTATTACTGTAATTTCTATGGAATGTATTATGTACGATATTTAGTATTTATTAAAGTAGTTTTAAAACATTTTGGCCTCTGGAACCTAACTCATTATTTTCATTTAAATCAATTTGATAATTCACAGTGTCTTCTGGCACCTAACGCGCGAATTATCAAGAATCCACTGTACTTAACAGTGTCTCGGTTATATGACAAGTATTTCACCTTACTTCTGTTTGATAAGTTTTTGCCATAAGTAAGTCCCATGATTTGGTATTAGCCTTAGCTTATCCACCTGCTTCAATATTAGCCAGTATTTCACAACCAGTTTCCAATCTGTTTTACGGCCATTTTCCACGCTTGTGTGGGTTAGCTTTGGAAAAGGGCTATAATTTTCCTGGAATTCTGAATGAACTGCTTTTTTCTAACCTGTGCACAAATTTACTTGTGGCCTATTGTGTACTTTCTATCATGATGTACAGGATCTTAACTTAAGCTGCCAAGTAGGATTCATATCTACTATGTAAGGTCTCCCTGGTCACAGCTACACAGCTTCGTCATGCCCTCTACTCGCAATCTCTTGTCGATGGTCATCTCTAGATAAGCTACGGAGGTTGTGATGTGAGGATGCAGTTTTCTCTAGTCTGCCTCCTCTGCGAGACAGTCCTGGAGTGAAGTCACGGGTCCCAAGGCCAGTAGGAGCAGTTGATGTGCCTGTTTCTGAAGGCGAGACTTTCCTCTGACGATCCCTCTTCACTGTTGTATTGCCTAAAAAAAAAAAGAAAAAATGGAGGTTTGAATTATGAAATCCCATTTCATGACTAAGTAAATAACCCACGAGTACTTTTCTATTAAATAGTCTAAGCTACTAAAGGAACCGGTAATATTTTGCTTGGGATAGCTTTCTCACTCAGGGTCGCCAGATCCTATAAACACAATAAACCAATGGTTGGTTTTCTTTAAACCAAGTCACTGGCTCATCATCATATTTTATTTATTTTCTTATTTATCATTCCATCACTTATCAGTTTACTAGCAGTTAAGGTGGTTGGTATATCCAGTGTCATCACCATGATCGTCTTTTCACTGTCAGTTTCCATGCTTACACGAGTTAACTGTAATACTAGTTGACAAGGGTTCGGTAACATGGATCAAATATGCTGCACTTCATTAATTTTGGGCTGATTTAAAATATGGCAATAAAAAAGTCAGTCATGTAACATTTTTATGATATATGTGTATATGTAGTGTAGGAATATAAGATACGTATTTGTGTTGGTAGGGATATATTAAATGCAGCAAGTGGGAGGAAATGCTGTCTCCAACCTCACTCTAGTCGTGTACACAGTTGTGACTACATTTGCTGTGGCCGAAATTCTTTCGGTTAGCGTCTCCCGGTGCGAAATCGGCGATTCACACTGGATAACACCCTTCTCACGCGTGTCCGGGTCAGGTAGGACATATTGGTGGAAAGTACGAATGTTACTGCTGTACCACAAACACCCTCAATACACTACATATACTGTATGTTGCTTTACTTTGTCTTCATAAACTGACCAGGTTCAGTATGGGAAACCTGTGTAAGCATCTCAGAATCTTCTGATGCTGCGGAAAAAATTATACCTTTGGATTTTCTTGTGGTGGTAGTCATGGATTGGTGAGGATAGCATGGTGGTGGTCATGGAGTGGTGACGATAGCATGGTGGTGGATTACGAGAAAATAAAATTAAGCAGGAAAATTTAAGTCTAAAAAGAAGGGAATATACAAGTTATGAAATTAATAAATTACAGTATAAAAGAATGGAAATTAGATCTTGAAAAATTGTGGAATTGCAAAAATGTCTTGCAGACCACGAAGGTAAACTACTGTGTCACTAAGGAAATAATCATCAGCTGCTTTATATATATGAGGTTAACCACCAAATTACCACGACAATGTTGTAATGGAAAGTTTAAGGAATACAATAGATTACAACACCTTTCTTTGGCCACATATGAATTCCATAGTTAACAATTTTGTGCTGTGTGCAGATTCTAAGTTAACCTTATGTACCCATTAATCTTTTACCAGTACACCAGACAGATTCAGTCCTATGTAAAAAGGAAATATTTCGCAAAATATTGCATCTCTCCTGACACTGAACCACCGACCACCCAAACAGTTAGAACGCTGTTAAATGGTAGAATTGATAATACTAATAAGCTTTGTGGTTCAATTGATAAAGTTTTGGACTTCCAACCCATAAGACACTGATTCAGCCCTATGGATATACAAGGCTGATGGGGCATTATCTTACTTTGGAGTGCTCTGAGGAAGCCACTCATTATCCATACACTTGGTTATGCTAAAATCTTTCCCATCTGTCAGTAGCTATCCAACATATACTGGTAGTCGGTATTAGATAATGTGATGTCAATTTTAGTTTTCATTTTCTTGTTCCCACCCAGTTGTAACTTACTTCTCTTAATGGTCTGCTTCTTGCGTGCCTGGAACATTCCATAAACCACCTCAGCAAGGGAATTATAAGTGGACGGATGGCGGCTGAAGGGCGTCTGACGTGAAGACTTTCGTCCTAACACGAAGTAAGTATCCATCTCCCCCTTTCCTTTCACCGATATTTTACCCCGATATTGCAGCCTGAATCCTCGAAAGTTTAATATCTGGAAGATAACTTCTCTTAAACAACAGCAACAGAATTAATGTACAAATTAACATTACAAGAATATTTTTATTCATAATGCACGTCAGACTCAACATTATTTAACTTTGATGATGGAAAAAAAGCGCATTTTCAACATTGTATGGCACTGGAGTTTCTGAATGTGGAGGTGGAAAATGAGAGGATTTATGTACAGTGCCATGAAGAGAAGAGATGCATGTGTGTAAGTGGAATGAGTGGGGGGGGTGTGTTGGTTCGTGAAGCTGAGTGTGTAAATAAATGGAGAGAGAGTCTAAGTGCATAATCACGATAAGGGATAGAAAATAGTTGTTTTAGGGCTGTGTGTGGGGAGGGATGATGGAGTTAGAGGCTGCGTGTGGAGATGACAATGGAGTGAGGGGCTGTGTGTAAGTGTTGGGAGATGATGATGGAGTTTTTTAGTCCTTTCTCCATTCCTAATCTACTTTCTACCCCCTTCCTCTTCTATAATTCAACAAGTATGGTGGTAGCCAACCTGAGCCGTCTCTTTGGGTATCTGGATGGTATCACTGGCACCTGTGGAATCCATTCTAGAGGCCTCATTGACAGTGTTGCCCCATACGTCAAACACAGGCTTTTTGGCCCCGATCACACCTCCAACCAATGGTCCATGACTAATGCCTGCAAAACAAAAAATTATTTAAGAAATATTAAGATTAAAATAATATTCAAATTGGCCTTATTTAGAATCATAAATATTGCCCAGCAGGGCAAATGAGATTTGTTTATGGAAGAAATAGACTTTGATTAGCAATGAAAAAATTCTGTAAGCAATGCCTTTGACTGTCTATAGTCCTATATATAGGATGCCTCTTACATATTTGTATTAATTAAACACAATAATAATACAGTATATTGTAAATAAAAATGTTTTTGTTCAATATGAAGACACCAAAAACAAAGACACTGAGATACGGTAGTTAATTGTAAACTGATACAGTATATGGTAACCTGGCCATTTTGTTTACCCTAAACAGATGACTACAATCCCTTTTACTTTTACTTCTATGTTTTTTGCCACTGATCGGCTTGTTAGCCGCTTGGGTGGTCGGTCACGTCTCTGTTACACACTGTTGGCAAGTACTGGGCATGCACTGGCTCCTGAATGTATTGGAACCTGCTCCAGTGTTGGTCAAGTCTGGTCTTGAATGAGCTCACACTCGGTGCCGTCACAACACTCTCTGGCAGATTGTTCCAAGAGTTCACAACTCTCACGCCAAAAAAGTTTGCCATCACAGTTTACTGGACTTGTGGCTTCTTCAACCTTGAGCTGTGACCCCTTGTGGGGCAGACTTCCGCTAGTTCCAGGTAAGTACATTCTACAAAACAGTGCCCCGAGATGTTTATACACTTCGATTAGGTCGCCCCTCGTCCGTCTGTAATATAATCTTAGCAGTTGCAGGCTTTCTAATGTCTCTGGGTAACTGAGGTTCCGTAGAGCAGGCACCAGTTTGGTGGCCCTCCTTTAGACATTTTCAATCAATTGACAGTCTCCAGCATACTTCGGGGACCAGATGGGGTGACAGTAATTCAGACGGGGAAGCACCTCACTCTTGAAGATCGTGAAGAGCGATGGACCATCCAGATATCTAAACGTCCTTCTTATAAGACCTACTAGTTGCGTTGCCTGGTTCACCTTCTTCTCATAATGGCCCGAGAACTTAAGTTCATTGTCAATAAACACACCCAGGTCTTCTCAATTAATGCAGTTTTTTTGTCCAGTTGGGACGTGTGATATGCCTTCTTACTGTTGGTGCAACCCAGGTGCATCCTTTTGCACTTCGTGACGTTGAATCTTAGCAGACATTTCTTTGAACATTCTTGAAGCTCACAGAGATCTTTCTGTTACTCTTCACAGTCTGTTTGGTCCCTAATTTGTCTAAATAACTTGGCATCGTCCGCAAACATTTGTATGGAGGAGTGTATACGTTCTGGCATATCATTTATGAAGCAAACAAACAAGAACGGGCCCTGTGGCACCCCGCTTGTCACAGGTACACATGACGATTTCCTACCATTTATCACCACACACTCTTTGCAGTCATGGAGAAAGTCTCCGATCCACGCTAGGACGCTGTCGAAAGCCTTGACAAAATCTAGGTATATATTGTTATATGGCTATGCATTTACAAACCGTTAATATACTAAGATGTGTTCCATATATTCTTTTATATAGGTCACCATTGTAGGAGCGGTTTGATTTTCTATGAATGATGTATGTCCTTTGAAATAACATCCTAGACAAAACTAGAATTACATACCCACTCGCAATCTGAAGTTGTTGAAAGAATGTTTGTTCACATCTTCAAGCCGAGCTTTCATCTCAAGAGCGAAGTCTACGAGGGCACACAAGTGGGCGTGACTGTCCTCAGCATCCTGCAACAATATTCCTCAATTTATATATGACTAGCATGGCTCAAACTCTACACTGATGACAGATATTTGTTTACTAAAGCTCCTGTAATATTTAAATGTACAGTCGCCTCCAGATGTGTCATTATTCCCTACCATGCCTCCCTTGCTCAGTGGCAATGTGGCTAGGGGGCTGATTGACAGGGCTGTTTCTGTGAAGCAACACACATAGAGGCGTCTATACTTTTCATTCTGACCAAAACTATGCCATGATATTCTTGGTAAACACATTTTAGTTAAATCTACACAAGTATTTTTATAATAAAGATTTACAGAACATCTGATTAATCAATTTGCCTAGTAAGACTGATGGCAAGTGGTACTAAAAATGTATCACAATTGGGTTAAGCATATAAGGATAAAACAGAAAAAGGGGAGGTACAGATGATGTGGATCCTGTATATAATAGTTTGTGGTGTAGCATTAAATGAGGGAGTGGTTATTAAGTCCCATTTTATAGCTGAACACAGGTGAAGTACAGTACAGTATGAGGGGTTGATAATGAAGACCCCTGACATGTGAAGCTGGTGCTGAATCAGAACATGTGTAAAATAGCTACGGTAAGTAATATATTAGTTAAGCCTTCCCATCCACAACCACGGTTTGAGAAGGATGTAATGTGAAACATCAGTTGCCAAACAAAGTTGAAGGCCAGAGAGTTACAGTTACTAGAGCATTCCAGAGGGGGGAGGGGGGGGGGAGATTTGATAAGTGCTCAGTTATAACATGGGATTTCATGATCAATCCCTCATTTATAACATAAGTACATCTCAAGGAGGTCAAGTACTTAAAGCTTGCTAGGTTGAGGTAAAAATAATATCTAAATGCTAGTGCTGTTTACATCTTTGTATGGACCTCTAATACCCAACCAGTCTTTGAAAACGTACTTACGTGCTCCCATTGGCCACACAGTCTTGGTCAATTATTTGTACATTAAAGCATCTGATGATTGTAGTTGTCAATGAACATGAGGGACGCGCCACACAAGGAGCACCAGTTAGCTGTATGGTTGTACCCACCTTAATATTTTAGAAATATATGTCCCAGAGGCCTTAATCATAGATTATGATTTAAAATCTATGCACTGTACAATGCATTCACTTTAAATAGTCTGTCTCCTTCCGAAGTGAATCAGTAATGAAACTATGGGAGTTAATACAGCCCCAGCCGTGTTGAGATCTTGAACTAAATACATCATTTTATAATTTTTGTTCTTCTAACTTTACGTCCTAAATTAAATAGTAAATATATGAAAAAAAAAGTTATTCTCCACTTCGTCTTTCATTGGTGTTGTCAGTGTCACCCTGGACCTCTCTCTACAACACAGAAATATCAATACAGTACATTTTACATGGGTATCAATATGTTTATACGTCCACCTATCTTACACGTAACAAATGCAAAGGCGGTTATTTCTCATTTGAAAGTCGCAATGAAAGACCCTTATGTACGAGATAAAACGAATCTCGCCCAGGTAAGGGAAGGTAAGGAACTGTTTCACGCCCCCCCCCCTTTTTTACTAAAAGACCAATGGTGATCTGATCCCTACACACAGAAACAGATGCTGGAGCTCGGAGCGGTAGACGCAGTTGTGACGCCCTTCCTTTGAAATCTGACGACCGTGACATCATAATAAATAAATAAATTTATATATATACATATATATACTGTATATATATATATATCATGTAGATCCACAATGAAAACGTGGATAAGATAAATCTTGATAAAATCACACGTGTGTGTTGGTGTGGGGATTAGTGGATGACATCATTATGACCTGACCTCATGTTTTTAAGGTCACCCTGTATATTTAAGCCTCTCTCTGTCCATGTAATCCAGTTGCCTCTGAAGATGTCTTGAATAAAGACTAATCCCCTCACCAACACACACACAAATGTATACTGACGGTGCTAAGTCAATTGTGATGGGGACATTGCTTCCTATGTATTTCTCTCTAATTCTGTCACACTCATTCTGAATGTTCTTCAGTCAGTCAATTATATGATCCTTTATTATAAAAAAATGGTTTCAGAATGTGTGCCAAAATAGTCAGGAAAGGCAAACAAATATAACTGTACTGTATGTCAATGTATTTCCTTTTATGTATGTGAGCCTTCTTCTGCAACGATGCAGGGTGGTCAGAGAAGTGTCGATTCTAAACAATCATCAGCTTGTGAATTATCCCTTGACAAGATGCTTGTTCACCAAAAGGTTATTCCACCGTTGGTAAACTCACTCAATAATGTGCTCATTAGTTGCTAAATATTCAAGCAAGGAACCAGATGCTAAATTGTAGAGAAGAGTGAAAACCTGTGACCCTTAGCTTACACGGTCAACACTTTTCCAGGAGGATTTTGAGTATGCAAACTAATGATACCATACAAAAGGAATATTTTATGGCAAAGACACGCGGTATAAACTGCCAATGCGTACGAGCTTTTGATACACTTCTTATGTGACTTATAATAAATGTGTATCAAGTCAGGTATTTTTATGCAATACCCATGCCTGTTATAAGACATATGTTAACATTAATTCTTTGTCAGATGTAAGTGTTGATGTTGGGACCTCCACACTCAAAACTATGGAGCCAAGTCTGTTGAATAAATGAGGTACAGTCACCCAAAAAAAGTCCTGTCGCGAACCATGAACCCCGAGATTCAGACTCTTGAATCCGAAGCATTTATGGACACAATAATGTATCAGTGTCTACTGCTTCGGGTTCACGAGTCTGAATCGTGGTTCGCGACAGGACTTTTTTGGGTGACTGTACACGAATGAAATTTTGCATATGCCACCTAGAAAACTTTACAAGAAAAAGAATGGAGATGATGAAGTACAGACCTTTTCAGTGGGGTTAAGTCCAGAAGCTGCCATGTATGTGCTGCCAATGGTCTTAATTTTCTCAATGCAAGTAAAGCGGTCTTCATCCAGTGCCTCATCAAAGTCAGCTAGAAAAGATAGATACAATAGTTTGTCAGGCTTTAGCTCTAAGATATACGGTAAGGCAGTAAAACTCACTTTTTTCTAGAGGTGGTCTCAAACTGCACTTTACCACACTGTACATGTATGTTATAGGGAGGCAGGAATCAAGAGCAAACACACACATTCCTTATCACTTCAATCCACTCACTGTAATTACTCAAACATCTCCATTATACACCCTACTAATCTTACTCTTCCTAATATATGTCAACACTCTAGGCATATGAGAATTTTAATTATAATAATTAATTAATTTTATGAATCTACTACTGAATAAACCCTCTCCTATCAACATCCTTGATCCAAAATGAAGCATTGAATTAACATGAATTCTCAGTTGCGACTTAACTATGGTTAGCATTGGCAATGATCACTCACTGAATTAGAAATAATTTCGGTATTTAATCACTTAGCTATTACAGCTATGATTTACTGTACAGACTGTATTGTGAAGTATACACTGTACACAAAGATTTACACACACACTTCAAGCTAACACAATCTCTGTGCCAGAAAGGACATATATCAAATCGAATATGATATCCATATTTCTAGCTTAAGTTATTACTGTACTTACCTATTATTTCATTGAGTAATCTAATGCATTCCATTCCTCTGTTGACATCTTCTGAGTAAAACTGTGTGAAGTTAGGAATTGATGCAAACAACACTCCAACATTTTCATAGGCCTTTGAAAACAATTCCTGGAAGGACATGAGAGATTAGGTTTACAGATGATTTGTTTATCTTTAGTTTATAACTGAAGTGATGTATTCATCCATGGCCCTACTTCATCATAAACTATATTATTAGTTATTAATCATTTTTTAATTATACCATTGTAAAATATTTAATTTCATTGGAAAGATGTGTAGCAACCCCAAGTTCTAGTTTAAAGTCTATAAATGTTTAGTTTACTGAAAATAGGATAAATAATAATTTGTGACCTCAGGAATCTCTACTTATAATAATATTATATTATACTGGAATCCATTTAAGTTGGTAAGCTAGATTACTGTAGATGGATATTTAAATTAATGTATCTCTATAAATATAACCTTTCAGTATTTGCAAGCAGTCTTGGAGAATTGGCTGGATTAAAAATAATTATAAATGGGGTGTCGAGTTTACTCTCATCCATTGCAAGCTTTGTTGTGGGCAAGTGTTAAACTAACGAAGACTGTTGATAAAATATTGGATCTAGTAGACCATTTAAATATAATGGTTAATGAAAACAGATTATATTAGAAGAGTACCGTAGGAGCTCACAGTTAGTTCTATAACAACAAGTTCTTACACGAGATCACATTTGCACTCAAAAGAAGTAAAACCTGACAGTTTTCTGTGTTGATGCCTTCTTTAGCAAAATTGTGGCATCTAGTACTGTAATCAACTTATTTTGTGTATGCTCAGTCAGAGTCAAAAGTTCTCTCCCTCCTAGACCGAAGCAGTATCGACCTCAAATGAAATAAAACACCACACCAACACCAGGTGACAGAGGAAGTCAGTTCGGAGATTCATTCCCATGACTCAGTTTCACCACGGTGAGCGAACTGTGTCTGTGACTGTACATAAGACTGATAAATATCTATCGAGGTGCTTATACACTTCTTCTAAATAACCTTTGTTCATCAAAACTATAAAATGGGCATCTGTGAAGAGTCTAATATCTCTTGGTAAGTGAGGAGCTTTCAGTGCTGTTGGCAGTTTGGTAGCCCTCTTTTGGAAGCCCAAGGTAGTCTGGCATATCTCGAAGACCAGGTAGAATTGCAGTACTGTACTGTACTCTTAGTGATGTAACACAACAGCTTTGAAAATTATTACACATCTTAATATTAAGCCAGTAACAATAGTTCATTAATGATATTCACTTTTTCACAGTGATTCAGGAGCTTTAATTAGGTATTACCATAAGTACAAAGATTGTTCTCAAATCTAGTTTTAGTCAAGGTGATGTGTTTAGAGTGTTCGGACATGTAGTATACTTCCTTTCTATTACTGTGCAGTGTTATAACTAAAGTTCCTCCTTTTGTATTTTCAATGTAAAATCACAGCTAATGAGAGACCATCTTCTAAGAGTTCACAGAATAAAACATTTATTTTTTTCTGATTAACTTGGTGCTGTCAGTAAACAAATTCATAGAAGAGAAAAGTAATTGCCATTATATTTATGAGACAGGCAAATTACACTGGTACTGGTACACTGCCTGTCACCAGTACACATTCAGATAATGCCTACGATCAGTCACTCTTCTTTGGTAGCATATTTTCCCGTTTTCTGTATCTATTCAATTTAATTATCAGTCTTTCATGAGGTGCTCTGTAAGATACCTTAGCAAAGACAGGGTATTTATCGTCAAAATTAACAAGCTATGGGATCACTGACTCTACTGTACATCCAATACCTCTAGCAGCTGCGTCAAGCAGGAGAATCCTGGCATAAATCCCTGCTGGTGTCCCTTCACAAGGTCGGTACACACTATACATGTGAAAATCATAAGCCTATAAGCAAGGTTGGTCTATTTTATATCTCTAAATCACCAAAGGTCCATGGAACGAATGACTACCAACTTCCCAAATATCATTTAGGGTCAGATAGGGGTGTTTCTTTTATTACTATTCACCAACATAAGCTGTAGTGAAGTTTTTGTTTGTACAGTCAGCCAAAGATGCTACCAAATGTTCGTATATTTGTTTAAATATAATTATGTGAGAATCTTGTGGTTGTAGTCGAGTTGCCAATTCATTAATATAATTTTCTTCATTATTTACACAAATATACAAACATTTGGAAACTTCTCATGACCTTAAATAACAATGAATAGTTTATTATTATAAAAATTCTACCTTTGGTTTGTTTAATAATTATCCTGACAGTGATACAGCCGAAAACAGATCCACTAATCATAATCACCATTACATACAGCCTTCCTTTACCAAGTATTGCCAAGTAAAATGGCGAGCACGAGACCCAGGGTGGGGTCGGTGCATCTTTGGCTGACTGTGCATCTGAACTTGCAGCTACCACCAGCCTACTATCTGAGAGTTTTGAAATTTTGACAACTTTCCTATTGCAAATTTCAACGCTTGGTTCAATTTCATTATTAAATAAGAAATTAGTGCAAGGCTTGAAGCAACAAGTACTTATCAAGATGATGATAGGAGATTTCCACATCCTTTTCAGCTAGTGACATTATTAATTCCATGTTATTTATTAGAGATTATAGTAAAAAAAGTGTCAAATTGGGGCTAGTACAGTAGTACATAAAAAATAGAGCTGCAGGAGATGAAAAGAGCTCTCCTTGATGAAGGCCAATCACTGAAACATCTCTTGGCTCCCTTTGAAGAGCCTAGATAAAATTATGCGTCATTTTCAAAGAGTACTATTCAAAATTAGATTCTAAATTACAAAACAGCCAAGAGACAGCCCGTGACAAATACTCCCATTCTAACAGAACTTACTCAAGTTTGAAGGGATGGGAGTTCTCTTGAGGTAGAGCTACCACTCTTATGGTAATCATCAAGGACAAATACCCATCCCATCTTCACACAACAGAACTGGCTGCTCGCATATATCCATCCATACTGCACAGCGTTACAAATGGTTTTATGCTACAAAATTGTTTTCCTCTTCTGGGGTGTACACCTTCCCTATTTTCAGTTTGAAAACGAAGAAATGAGTTGTGGATACAAGCACTCCGTGTAACTTCTGGGAGAATAAATTATCTTGGGCAGAAACTGAAGGAAGAAGGTAAAGAAAGATAGAAAGGGAGCTTCATATTAGTAATGATGTCATTTTGTACATGACAATGCTAATGAGAAAAACCTGATGACTGAACTTAGTAAGCCTTGTCAACTGGTACAAGGGATTCACTCTGTATACAGCATATGCACCTTGAGCATATTCAGAACAAGTGTTTGGGTTTAGAATACTGTTTTAACCAATTTCCTGTTACATTCTACATTTACCTTGCACTGCTCTCCCCTGTTATTCCCCCTTTCTTTGAAATTTCTGCACTTCTTGATCCACCCCACATTAAAGTGGGTAAGGAGTAAAGGTAATATATATTTGAAAGAAGAAATAGAAGAGTGAACAATAACAAAGAAAAGCTTATTGTTGGCAGATAACAGTAACTTTGGAAATCTTACCTCCCCTTTCCTATCTTCTGAGAGAAAGTAATTGGCTACATGGTCTGGAAGAATGTTCTTCAGGAGTTGGGTGTTGTACAGACGACATTCACTCATGTCTGTTAGCTCCCTTAAGGCTTGTTGTTTCCAGACAAAGTCGAGTCGAGAGGTAATTTCAACCAGGCGGCCGTGGTATGATACCATAAAGAAAAACAGTACAAGCAGCACTGTCATTCTAGTTGGTATGGAAACACCCACCAGAAAAATGATAAATTAATTTTAAGAACTTATTGTTTTTAGCATTACATCAACCTTTTATTTGACACACAAACCTAATTACTGGAACTGACCAATTATATACCATCTATAGAGGAGTTATGCACATTTATTAGTTGAAAATAATCAATCATACAGTATTTAGACATACAATTATCTTCACATGAAGTTTATTCTTTCCCCCATGCAGGATAATGTAAAATGGTGCTTACTATGATCAGAACACAGACAAAACTTAAAAAAATTGGGAATATAATTTAGTAAATATATATAGTGACCTATTCATAAAAGTTTAGTACTGTATATATGCAATACAAATTTATGCACCCTAAAATATAAGTACAGGGTAAATCAGAGACCCACACTCCAAGGCAAGTTGCACAAACTGTATTCATTTCATTAAATGTTTGAAATGCATCATGATGTCAATCCTGCAAGACAAACTTGACTGAACATTGGTTATTGTATCATGCCTCATTTGGTGTACTCACCTTAAATATTGTTTGTTTGTCATATTTCATGGTGGTAAGTTGTAAGGCACCAACTTCATAATGAATGTACCAAGACTAGTCAGGAAATATTACATACGTATTTTGCATTCAAACTTGCATTATAAAACTGAGAAATATTTGCAATTCACTGACATGCAAATTAAAGATTTGATGAAACAATTACAAGTAATGTAACTGGCCTGTGAGCCCGGACCTTTGCTTCACCATGTAAAACTCTAGCATAATTCACTCATATTCCCTTTAATTTTACCTGTATACAGGATCGAAGATTGAGTTGAATTTAATAATTAGGAAGCCATAGCAGGCTACCATAAACACCAAAACCATCGTCTTGACAAGATAGTTTAACTTGAGGAAGGATGCGAGTGCAACCATACATAACACCCATGTATAGACGAAGTACTGCGGGTACATACAGTACAGATGTTCTGGATCAGTAGGCTGGGTGCTTAACACAGTTGCATTTTCCAAATTTAGATGTTCAAATGCAATATCAGTCAGGTCCAAAGGGATAATTTCTTTTCTGCTTTGAACCTTTGATTTATTCACTTGAGCATCAAAAGTTGCTGTATCATGTACATTAGTACTGTCTGTTTTTACCTTAATTAACTTTTTATCATTATGACGACGCATTCTAGTTCTTAAATCACTGCTGTAACTATTCCTTATATGGTTTGTGACTTGTAAGGGAAACTTTCTGGTTTGAAGTTTGGCACTTACAGAATTACGAAGTTTATTTGCACTAACAAAGTCTCTATCTCTGTTTCTGAACTTAGGTATCAAGTCTAATTTAGTATTAACATATCTTGGTGAAGTAATGTTAAAAGAAACACTGTCAGTGGCCCTCTCACCACGACTGAGCTTGTCACCAGTTAATGTTTCAGAGCCATCGGCAAGTTTTCGCTTATTTCCTACTTTGTGTGTTAAACGGCTTTCCTCCAAACCATCTAAATAATCCACATTTCCAGGATGAATATTGGAGGTACTTAAAATTGGGAAATTTATATCATAAGTTGTGTGGTAGAAATTTCTAATATCCTTAATATTGCTGGTCTGTAAAGTGATATGTTTTGGTTCTTTTACTAGTGATAAGGGAAAGTCAGATTCATTATCTTTCACTAGAAGTGGACTGCCATCACTCAGTGGCTGCAGAGGTCCCATGTGATTTTGATCTTCCATCAATGTGATACTGGAAGCTTCAAAACTTGTTGGCGAGCCAAAAGATACATGAAATGTATTTTTTGGCTCGGAGCAGCCTGACTGGACAAGAATCTGCAAGAAAATCTAAATTTATCAAAATAAATAAATAAATGAATATCTGCCCTTAAAGATTAGGCTTCCATTTTCTATGATAGTGTGCTGTAAGTAGTGTAAAGTTGATAATAATAATGATGATGACAATAAAGGTTTATACAGTATATATATGTATAAACCTTTATTGTCATCATCATTATTATTATCAACTTTACACTACTATGAAAATGGAAGCTATAAGGGCAGATATTCATATCCAGAGATACACACACATACACACAAAAAAACATTAAAATAAAATAATGCACAATGGAAAACATATTGAAAAATAGGATTGGACAACAAAACAAGTTGAGTGAGACCATTCCCAACCACCCGTAAAGAATAATGAAGATTGAGTCAGTGTGAAAGAATTTAAAGCACTGATTCAGACAAAATTGGGCCACTCTGAAATGCAGCCCTAGAAGTAATAAATTTAATCAGTCACTATAGAATATCATAAAAAGAAGAGTATAATACAATATAGTTACCATAGAATAACCTAATTCCAATGGGAAATATAAGAAATAAATAATTCCTCAAATGATGTTTGAGTTTAGTGGCAAAATTAAGTTGTCAGATTAAAACAATATACAGGTACAGACCATGGAGATTTAACAAGAAGAGACGGCATCAACCACAGACAGTGAAGCCACTCTTCGCTCACAGCGGCCAGCATGATATTAGCAAAGCATCCCAAGTGGTAGCTGACAGGACTAGGTTTTTTGGTTTTATTCTGTGCATTCAGAATGTGTTCAGCCAATAACGTCAAATTAATTGTGTTTAGTGGTCAATAACGTCAAACTAATTGTGTTTAATGGTCAATAACGTCAAACTAATTGTGTTTAGTGGTCAATAACGCGAAACTAATTATGTTTAGTAGTCAATAACGTAAAACTTATTTTGTTTAGGAGTCAATAATGTCAAAGTTATTGTGTTTAGTGGTCAATAACATAAAAAACTAATTGTGTTCAATGGTCAATAACATCAAAGTTATTGTGTTTAGTAGTTAATAAGGTCAAACAGTACTTATACAAGTTAAAAAAAAATTATTTACATTGTTGATTCTAAGGGTTTATTGCATGTATTTATTAGAACAAATTGTTTATATCAATCCTGTGACAATTAATTTTATTAATAAATCCAACCACAGGAACATTTATGCTACCTGGTGCTCGGGTAGTGGCAGCTAGTAATAATTATTTTACCAATACCAAGATGGCGACGCGTGAGTCGGCTGACTTCAGTCTGGCCCGTGTGTATTGTTCCCCGTGCCGCCTCCAGTCATCAAACCTTCTTGGTAAAGACCCTCAAAACCAGAACTCAGAAAACTAGAGACCCCCCAATACTGAACACCTTCTTTCCTGGGTTAGACTACATTTTATTCCCTGGATATGTCAAGCCTTGCTTTCACAAACATACAAGTGAACATTTGTTTTACTACTTAAATAAGAAGATGAAGAAAATATTGTTGCAAACATATTAAGTAAATAAAAATACATTAAATATAAACTATTTTGAAGTTTAGAGTTCCCTAAAACAAAATTAAATGGGTGTGTTAACATTACAGGAACTTCTAGTAAGTTTCACCACTTGCTAGATGTAGAGTTCATAAATACTGTACAGTAATTATTGTCTGATTGAATAAATTTCCAATACCTCGATTATCTTTATTTATAGTTTTCACATAACTTCCGAAATTAATGCAGTCGTAGTCAAATCAAATAAAAGATTTTATTAATATTAATTTCAAAAGCTATAAGGAAACAAAACATGATGTAGGCTACTGGTGAGCCGAGGGTAATATAGATGACCACAGGACCCAGGAAACCGGAGAATCCTCAAAATCGGTTTGGTCTTGGGCCCAAGGTTACTAGATTTGAGGGTCTAACCTGTACAAGTATAATAATCAATCTCACTAAAATACATAAATACTGTTGACTCCTCCATTGCTAACCCATGCAATGCCATGATAACAACAGCACTATATCCTTGACAAACCCGGCATTAGCATTTTACTTACCAAAGTAAGCATTGATGGCACAGATATTATGGCCATGAGAGCACAGATGAAGGCTTTCCTGCCAAAGGTTGCCCGTGCTAGGCGAGTGGACAAGCGCCGAAGGCTCGTAGGCAAACGTGGGAATTCTTCCGCCATCACCAACAACAAACCAACTGATAGAAGGATGGTTGCAGGCACGAAGGGTGCTAACAAGACAGTCACACTGGAATAATAAATGCACAAAGAAACATGTAGAGAAATAGATATTAGTTTGCATATATATACAATACCCCCTGTAGTTTTATCCTCATCTTACATTTGCCCCCCAAAATATACAGGCATAATGCTAAAATAGAAATGTGTACTGTACTTCTAATTTATTCATTCATTTCATTTTCACTGCTTTTCAGCTTACTGGACAGTCAGTCATGGGGTTTGCATGAAATCCCTAGTTACAGAAATTTCTTGTAAAGATTCACCACACTGTACCAGCGACACTGATGATCACTACAAGCACAAGATGAGGGTAGAGAATATGATTAAGTTCATGGTCATATTATAGTAAGGCAAAAAGGTAAAAAAATTCTCCCACAAAGATCATCTTTTTCTTTTCAGAATCACTTCTGAGCTTTCAGTCAGAAACATTAAAGGATGATCACAGAAGCGCTATTCCTTAGTGAATCACTGAGTGATTCATTGAGCAAACATTGTAAATTTTCTTATGAGACATTTCCACACTTGTACTGTAATAAGTTAGCTTGGCCAGATTCTAATTCAACCATTTTTGTAATGGATTATTCTAATTTGGAATTTTCAGAAATATATCAGCCAACCCTTTAACAACTTTGAAGTGAGTCTTGGCTAGAATGGAGTATGTTGTGTTGTGTTATCTCTTCTCAACAGTCTTAAGGGTCTACCTATATCTTTCTCTTTTAAATAACTAATGCAGTAATTAACTAATCCTCAGGCTCTTAAGACTATTATAACCTTTACAGTGGATGAGTTGGAAATTGTATTCATGAAATATACTTTCCTATTAATCCTAGATTTTGGTAGTATGATTTAAGGGCGTCATGTACTGCATTGAGGCTATATTTTTTTTCTTCTGGCCCTTCTCTTAATTGGACAAACCGTAGGTCAAGTATAAAGTTTTTACCTAAGAATAAGACTTAACTTGTGATCTAAAAGTATTAATTTTGGGGTCTGAAAAATTTAGTATTATTCCAATCATTGTTTGTACAGTATCTGGCAAAAACACTCATCACAAAAATCTGATATTAAACCATAAGAGAGAGCAATGTGCTTCTGTAGACCAAATTTCAAATGTGATTGTCGAGGTTATTACATTAACTCAACTGGGCGTTCTAATCTCTGGGTAACTGAGGTGCCGTATTGCAGGCACCAGTCTGGTGACTCTCCTTTGGTCATTTTCAATCAACTGACAGTCTCTAGCATATCTCGGGGACCAGACGGGGTGACAGTACTTCAAACGGGGAAGCACCTCACTCTTGAAGAGTGTTACGAGGGACGGAACTCCTAGCTATATGAACGGGCCTTCTTATAAGACCTAGGTCCTTTTCAGATTCGGTCTCTATTAATCCAGTTTCTTCATCCCGTTGGGACATGTGATACGCCTCCTTACTGTTGGTGAGACCCAGGTGCATCCTCACTACTTTGTGACATTGAATCTTAGCAGCCATTTCTTCGACCACTCTAGAAGCTAACAGCTTTTCACAGTCTGATTGGTTCTTTATTTCTCTGAATAACTTGGCATCGTCCGCAAACATTTGTATAGCTTCAGGCATGTCATTAATAGAAGAAACAAACAACAACGGACCCAGTACACTGCCCTGTGGTAAATAATAATAATGGATGCCCCTCATGCAACGAGGATGACCAGCCCTAGAGCCACCTAGGCGTGAATTTGTTTAAGGTGTAGAAGCTGTCGCCAACACAACCTTGAGCTAACGAGCTGCATGACCCAGTGTCAAGGAATAATCCGAGAAGACCAGACAACTTGCCAACTTCACCGTCTCACCATTACCCCGGAATACAATCCGCATATTGATTAACATCCAGATTTCCAATTACTGCTGGGTAGACAGAAGCAAATGGCGTAAAAAAAACTTGCCCATAACTTCACCCTGCCCTGGGATCTTTCCCGGGTCTGCTCGCTTGCGAGGCGAGAATGCTGACCATTACAACACAGGATCTTTCGGGGCTCGGCAAGCTCGTTGCACAAGTCTCTTAGCACTCTGGGATGCACCATGCCAGGGCCAGGACTCTATGATACTTTAGCAAGGCATTCAAATTTTTTGGTCATTTACCGTTAGTATTACTCCGAAAATTCTGCCGAGTCACCATGTGTGGTCTCTTTGTTTATAGCCGACCCACTCGGTCTGAGCATACTCTCACGTCCACAAAAAGCGTGAAGTTACGCCATGACGCTTCAACAACACTAATTTCTGTTTAATATGGCGGGGGATTCAGGGAGCGGAGCCCCCCCGGCTAAGAAGTGAGGTAGGTTTCTTTGGTTGTGTCAAGTTCATTATTATTCATTTGAAAGTTACTCAGAATGATGAGATATATCTATTGCATGTGTTATAAAAATTTAAATTCGCTGAGAGTCCACGTGTAAAAATTTACCATATTTGTTCCCGAATGAAAACAACTCGGCACTTGGCAACAAAACATAGCATATACTGTACTGCAAATGGCACTCACTGACAAAGGTATCACATACGATTTTGTCACTCATGGCAGCATTTAACAAAGGATCATTAGGTGACTTACTCTTGAACCACAATGGACTGACAGATGACGATAAGCACCCAGATAATGCAGGTACAGACAACATTGCTCTTCAACAGGTCAGCGCGGACCTGGTGGTACATCTCCTCCATTTTAAGATCCTTGAATGTGAGTGTGATGGGATGCATGTGTTCTGCTCTCATCCGTTTGTTGGACTCAATTTCTATACTATTGTCCATCAAGTTGTCCACCTGTTGGAAAAAATTTCAGTTATATTTTTCTTGAGCTACTCAATTTATGATATATCTTCTGTGCTTGTGTCCCAGATGTGTGAAGAAATATGTCTGAACACTTGCATGGTCTGTATGTATACATACCACACATAAGCTTCCAAATGTCTTAAGTGTGTATAATTGTGTGCAAGCTCATGTGTAACTTGTATAGGTGAAGTTGTTCTAATTTACAGTCAATTGAAGAAGAATAAGTCGAACACAAAAGATTTATAAGTCAATGTTGTGCATTAACAGGAATTAGCTTGAAGGAGAACAAAATCAAATTTATTGTATATTTTTTTGGTATGTTTCAAAGTCACAAATGACAGTACTTTTTACAAGGGTGAAATCAAAAGGGTAAGACAGATTAAATAAATCCATAGTCAAGTTGTGATGGGAGCAAAGTCATCCACAGTATGGAGACAGCCACATTACCTCTGTGGGAGACTTATCAAACTGACCATCTGACTTAATATAATGTGGAGTTAACATATTACTAGTGCTAACAACCGTTGTAGGAATATTTACTAATTGGTGGGGATGATGAGCATTGACATATGGGAAGAGCTAACTAAATTAGTTGGAATATACTGTAATCCCAATGCTGCTTAAAACTAATTAAATTAATGGTAATAACTGGTAATGTAAAATAACCAACCTCATGAATAAAGTTAGAGGAGGGATTGGTGAACTGTCCCGCCTCTGTGTCCTCGTCCTCCTCCTCAAGGAAGTCAGTAGATTCGTCTTCCGGAAACATTTCATCCTCCCAGTCCATCTCCAGCTGCCCAATACCATTCAGATATTAAGATAAAGGTTCTGGAGACTAAGATTCAAGATGTATGAATGGAACTAGAAACTTTAAAATTTAAAGGGTATGAGATTTACTGAATAGTTTAAAACTTAACTTGTATAAGAGGTACTGGAGATAAAATTCAAGCAGTAAAAGACCTTCGTGCAGAAATACAATTCTATTCTGCAGAACCAAAGGCTACCAAAACTCATTTATAATCTGGCCTAACACTCTGTGTAAGTCCCTATTACGGTGTTTTTCTACTTCAAATATTCCTAGTCTTTGGACAACGTTGACAGCAACACTTGTCTGATCTCTCCCTGTACTTTTAATTTGTTAAGAGAGAGACACTGTTTCTGAACACAATGACTAATTCCAGGGCAATTCCCATCCTTAAGACATCCTTTCCAAGACAGCAGTGTAAGGGGGTTTATCTAATCTTCCGAATACAGTACAGTAGTTCCAATTAATTTTGTTAGAGGTCATTTTGGGTTTTAAGAAAATAAGGAGTCTGCAATAGGCCGGTTGGCCTGTGCATGGCAGCTCCTGCCGAGAATTACTACCACTCTCTATCATCCATGAAGCTATCCAGTCTCCTTTTGAAACTTTCCAGCGTTCCAGCACTTACTACATAGTTGCTAAGCTTGTTCCACTCGTCCACCACCCTATTTGTGAACCAGTTCCGTCCATCTCCCTCCCAAACCTAAACTTATCCAACTTAAATCCATTGCTCCGAGTCCTATCCTGCTCGGATATTATAAGAACTTTATCTCTACCCCCTTTATTGAATCCTTTCACCCACTTAAATACTTCTATCATATCTCCCCGCACTCTTCGTCTATGGTTAAAACCATAGATATAACAATCCATATACCCAACATGGGTCATTCAGTCCAGATGAAGGTATTAGTTCTGGTAGAACAATTTGTTCATCATCTTACCACTATCAACTTACTACACGTTTGGGTGGCTAATCTGTTTTTGTTTATTTGTGTTGAACTTTATTTCCCAGTGTCAACACAAGAAGAAATTGGAGTAAACCTGTGATGTTTGTGAAAGCTCTATTTAATGGAGAGACAATTCTCTTATATCAAGGGACGATTAGATGTGAAACCTCCATCTCACTATGGAGAGAAAACACTGTTACATGGAGGTTTCACTACTGGATAACACCCTGTCCCCATCTATTCCGGGCCAGAGGTCAAACCCGGGATATTGTACTGAGAGAGATACGAGCATTACCGCACCATCACCATATACAGTATTTAGCTTTTCAGGGATTGTCCCAATGTTTTTATTCCTGAAAGACTGAAAAAATCTTTACATGATAAGCATAATAACTAACATGATTGGCCCTACAGTTGACAGTAACACCCGGGGAACACTTTAGAGGACAAATTGGAGTTTACATATTGTACTTGCATAAGTGCAATGTCATACAGCTCTCAGTACTAAATAGGCAATACAGTACTTCAAGTAGACCAACCAAACATCTCTTAAATACTACAGGGAAAATAACAGAAGGGTACCTACTAGACCTATCCAAAGGACCAACTACACAGATGCCGACACCATAACGGTATACCCTATAGTGCCTATATTCTGTGCTATATACACTTTCAGCCATATTACTCAAATCGAGATTATGCAGCAAGGCACAAGTTAAATTACAAGATGCCAAAAATTATATAGTAGCCTCTTCTGGACATTTTTTTTTGGAGGGGGAGGGGGGGGGTAATAAAATAATATGGTGTCTAAAATATATATGGCTGGGCTAAGAATACTATTTCCTGCTCGTGTAAAATTATTAGTTTGTGTCTGTTACCTTTGTGGGGTGTATTAGTCAATTATTTTTGTAGATACAGATTTGTCTCGCCATTATGGTGGAAGATGGCTGTATTGCAATACTGCTGTGGTGTAATGGTCAGCATGCTTGCTTCGCAAGCGAGCGTACCCGGGTTCGCTCCCCGGGCAGGGTGAAACTATGGGCAAGTTTCTTTACGCCATTTGCCTCTGTCTACTCAGCAGTAATTGGGGACCTGGATGTTAATCGATTTGCGCATCGTACTCCAGGGTAATGGTTAGCCAGTGCAGTTGGCGAGTTGTTCGGTCTTTTTGGACTATTCCTTGACACTGGGTCATGCAACTCGTTAACTTGGGGTGTGGTTGTTGTGTTGGCGGCAGCTTATATAACAAATTCACGCCTAGGTGGCCCTAGGGCCGGCTATCCTCGTTACACGAGGGACTACCATTATGTGTAGAGGGAGAAGTTCCTATGGGGAAAGTTTCTACAGTAGTAGAAGCATCTTTGTGGCATGAAAGTCCTCTTTCTGAGAAGTACCTTAGAGGTTTCTTTGTGATATGATGATTCTAAATGTGTAATAGTAGGAGTTCTTGTACAGCATTTTCCACTATTAATATTGGCGACTGACCCGCGGACGAGTTATTTGTTTTACCGTTTACTTTCTTACTTTATTTTTATCAGTGAGTTCTCATATGATAATTATTTCTTGTGCAAATGTTTCGTTTTGTAGATAATTATTGGGCGCCTAAGCACGCACCAGTTTGTCTTCCCAGTGGTAATGAGGCCGCACCCTACTGCTGCCCTTTTACCAGTGCCCGCAGCAGTTTCATTTTCAGCATGACGTGTGAAGGTTGTCACCTGTCTTATATGGACGTACTTTGCGAATTTAGGGATAAAGACAACGAGACCCTACAGTTGTTCAAAGACCACGGCATTGTTCCTTTAAATAGAGACTGTCCACACTGCTGGAATCCCTTTGCTTTCAGACCGGAAAGAAATGTATTCCAATGTAATAAGAAAAATATCAACAACAAAATCAAACAGCTGGAGCATTGTGGCTATAGTTCTAGTCCATATAAAGGAATTTGGCTTGAAAATGTCAAGATTAAGCCTATATTTTGCTTTTACTTATAAAAAATAATTACGAAAGTATTTTTCACAGAAATATAGTGAAATAGAACTGGGTTTGTGCGCCAAGTCAGTTGTTGACTGGAAACATTTTTGCAGCAAGGTCTATATGCACTAAATGGAAAACCAGGAACCTACTGGCGGCCCAAATACAATGGAAGAAATTGACGAAAGTAAGTCTGGAAAGTGGAAATTCCAACGTGGCCGCTTAGTGAAGGGGGTCTGGGTTGTTGGCCGTTGAGAAAAAGAGTCGCTGACACCCTACTTCCTCTTTGCCAGAAATTTATCAAGCCAGGCACCACTATCTATAGTGATTGCTGGAGAGCATACTCGAACTTGGGGGCCTTGGGTTATAACCACCAAACTGTAAACCCCAGCAAAACCTTTGTTGACCTAGTTACTGCAGTGCACACTGTAGAACGGCTGTGGAAGGATATAATGTCCTGGGTTCTGAGGACTGGCAACAGGGATTACTACTACAAACTCTACTTCGCTCGCTACCTGTTCTGCCTCATTCATCGAGACCACGGCACAATCCTTCATCGCTTCCTCAAAGCTGAGGCTCGAAGTTTCCCGCCATCACAAAAAGAAATCACTCCGCCACCCAGGCTGCATAAACGCCGATGCGGCCGCATGGTCTCACGTCCAGAAAAAACCTCAAATTACACCACATCATAGTAAATTCTTCTATTTAGTAAACGGGGGGCACTGAAGTTAGGTAAGGTTAAGTAGGTTTGTTTGGCTAGGTTGGTTAGGTCTGTTTTCATACCCACAAAGGTTAAGTTATGCTTATTTTAGAAATAACCACTTTTTAACAAATTTGCACAAACTACAAGTGTCCACTATAAAAAAAAGTGAAAATCCGGAGTTTTTAAAATCATTTTCCAACAGTTTCGGCCGCGGGTTAGTCATCAATAATTACCTTTTCCACTTATGTTTAAAGGTCTTTTGAAAGACTGACACAAAACAATCACAGAAAATATTATTCGACGCTCACTGACCGAAGCGGATTCAGAGGCTGGGGTGTGGTGTTGCTGTTTTGAATGCTCAGCAAACATACAAATACAATCTAAATTAGCAATCTTTAATTTTTAATACATTTATACTGTACAGTATTAGCCTAGCTTTTTTATGTCATGTTTCAATAATAATTTTATACCATTTTTCACAAATCAGAAAATGTCAACAATGGTCGGACGCTCTAAGTAACTTCAGTAATTCCATTTTTCTTCCATACAAAACGACACTACCGAATATTAATTCAAGATAATTCATTACTAGTGTGATTATTCAGTACCAAATTCTGGTATGCCATGCACCATTACATGAAATGAGGCCAAACTTACATTTCCAAATGGTATTTCAGGAGTCCAGTCTATGGTGTTCTCCTCATCCATCTGTACTGGCGACCCTGTTCTGCTCCCCTGTCCTCCATCTGACTTCCTACTTCCTTCATCCCCGTTATCTGTCTCTGTGGAGGCTGTTCTGTTGATGGTGGGGGCGGCAGTAGTGGTGGAGACTGTGTGGCCATTGTTACACTCGCTGATTGTCTCGTTTTGGTTCAGGTGGCGGATAATGATGCTGTTTGAGTTGTGTTGTTGATGGTTGGTGGAGGGCCCCCTGGGGTGACGGTGAACAGGGGAGCTGGAGGTTGTGGTGCCACCAGAGGACACCCTCTGTGAAGCGGCAAAATTGTTAAGAACAAAATAAATTTTAAAAGGGTCATTTGTGTTTATTTGGCATTTTAAAACAAACATTTACTAAAATGCACAAACTGTACCATTCTTAATTCACTTAGGGCCAATGTCGATCAACCCCTTAGAGTGCAGCTCCACACTAAGGTAGTTTATTCTGGCTAACGTCAGACGATTTTATTCAGCTGAAACCCCCTGACCTCTACAGTCTGCACCTTCAGCACTTCCATAAAAAACATTAGAGAGCTGTGTTGGATTTTAGGAACAAATCACTGAGTGAAGAAAATAAAATTATCGTGATTCATGGCCTGAAAATATTAGTAGGACAAATTTAACCTCTAGAGGTGGCCACACCGAGGGAAAGAGGCCAGTGACCTGTGTAGCATCCCTCCTGTCAGAAAAAAGTTGTAATAGTTATTTACCTCTGAATAATATGTTACTGAAACGACTGCGACGCCAAATACGCAAGGTAAAAAGACGAGTCCCTACACTACCGCTGTTCTAAATAATTTCACCACTAACACACTATCAAGTTCTCCTTAAGATTAAAATACACTTTCTATATAACCATTAAACGAGAGTAGTCTTTACACTACTTCAATGGAATATCCTGATATAAGCAAATAACGAGTTGAAATTACATATCATAGCCTCATACTATTGAAAAGTTATCCGCGTTACTAACCTTTACTGTATGTCAGATGTTGAATGTAGCCCTGAATCTATGTTATACCGCAAGGATGCTTGATACTACCTGAAATGTTATAGCCAAAAAAAAAAAAGACGTTTTTTCTAAAAACCAGTTTTTGTGATATAGCTCGTGACGATCAGCAATGCTACCTAGGTATGTTAATTCCTAGCCAATTCGCCAGGCCAACATACAGGCAATTAAAACATCTAATAATTACTAAGTAATATTAGGACACATCGCTACCTGGCATTTAATTGCTATTTGTTAGCCAAAAAAAAAACTAAAATAGTTTCTGCGGCTTAGCACCGGAGACAATATTGTCAGGATTAGATAGCTTAAAAATCTACCCATACCACATAACAATGGAGGGATGGGCAAACCGAGTACTTTGAAAGAACAGTATTTTGGTACTGATTACTCTTCAGAACCAAGTAAGTCGAGTACTAATTGATTACTTTATTTGTATCCAGTTCGTTTGTGTGCATCACAGAGCTGCATTTTGATGTATATTTTAATTAATGCAGTCTCACGTTATTAAAGCAGTTTTGAAATAAATGCGAATTCTATCTGTTAGAGCTCTGAAGTAGGCTGCTCAATACTTCATATGAATTTAAAATCATGAAGTAGATGTTATAGGTGAAGTTCTCAATAACAGTTGATAGACAGCTTTTGTGAGCTTAATTTTTCGGTTTAGAGCTGACAAGATAATTATTTGGTTCAACACTGATGAAATAAGTTAAATTCTTTATGAGTAATCAATGGCTCTTTCTTCAAGATATAACAGCTACATCATAGTGTTGGCAGAGACAAAAGTTGGAATTATAATGTTTATAAACTTGGTGTTTTGATTATTTTCTAGCCCATGCAACAGTTATTTTAATAAGTTTAGGGAGATTTTCGTGTATATATTGATGTATTACTCAGACCCTGCTGCCATGTGGCATCACAATAATTGTGACCAAGTCCCAGGTTGCTGATCTGACTTTCTGCCTCATTTACACAATTGCAGGGTCTCAATTGTTTCTCTTACTATTGACAACACAACATACATAGAGCATTTCTCACTCTTGATCTTTTTTATAACTTGTGTATTTCTTTATGGTTCTTTATTATTATTATTATTATTATAATTATTGCAGTGTAGTTATTATTATTATTATTATCATTATTATTTGTATTTTTTATTACATGTATAAATTTTACTTATCTGAATTACTATTATTATTATTAGTAGTAGCAGTAGTAGTAGTATAACATTTTCGCCTCCCAGGCCCTGATGTGGGAAGTCTCGATCAAGGTAGAACGTTCTAGAACCACCCAGGCGTTTTTGGGTTGTGCTAGGGTGTTCTGGGATCATCTGATGATGAGGTATATAAAAGGCAGCGTACGGTTGCAGACTGTACAATGGAGGGGACGGACCGACTGCCGGGGAAAGAGACTGACCTGGGCGGCCAGACTGTTAAACACGACTCCACCGTTCAAATACGTGCGCACCCGAACCGCGGTGATACCAACCCAGACGTGGCAACCCACCCACTTCCCGAAACACTGTGATACAGCCATTACACCAACGTGACACCTCACGAACGCCCAGGGCTGACAACGTTAACCTTCTCTTCCTACAGGCCACGCGAGTGACCCACACGACTGCGGAAAAATAGCTAACTGTTGTCGTTCCTGACGTGGTAAGAGGGCTATCTCTCTTCGCTTTTATTTTTCCAATTCTTACCCTGGCCGAGGCACCTACTGATTGTTAATACAGTACTTCAGTATTCTTGCTAGAGCCCCTCCAGTGGTGGACACCTCACAGTGTCTCCAGTGGGGAAAAACCTGGGCCAAACCAGCAGACGATAGTGCAGTCATACCATAGTGCGGGGGTCGCCCTTTGGAAGTTTTTTTTTTTACTGAAGGGTCTCTAATAACCTTCGTACATCACATAATCATGTGAAAAGAGAGAATTAAATCTGTATCCAAGGGGCGGTTCCCAGCCTCCCCAACCATGCCCCCTAGGGAGGGCCACAACAAGCCCCCCTCTGCTCTTTCAGGCAAGGACAAGCAGAGGCGGGATGTGAAACAAAAAGACCTAAGACTACCTATACCACTGACAGACAGACACCAGGAACCAACAACGGATAAAAAAAAAACCCCACAGACGAATAATCGAAATCAAACCATAGAACGCCAGAGTAATCAATTTCCGGAGTGTTGACACGTCCACTTCGCTTGACAAAATTAACGACTTCATTGTCCAGAAAGCCATTAAAGATCAGATAGGGGACCTGGAAAAGTGCGAAAAACGAGAAATGAACAACTTCAAGTAACTGTTTCAGACGAAAAGCAGATGAAGGAAGCATTGAATCTTAAAACTTTCCATACAACCAAAGTGGAACCGCATATCCCACCGTTTCTCAGAACCTGTTATTGATACCCATTGATATTGATTTAGTTTATTTAGCCAGAAGAACATAGATACAGAGTCGAAAAAATAATAATATTAACATGGCTGAGCCAGTGAGAGCCTGAGCTCTCTTGTAGGCACCTGATATATAATGTACATTTATCTCAAGGAAGTATTATGTAACATTTAGGAGGGAGATAGGAAGGAACTGGTTCACAAATAGGGTGGTGGACGAGTGGAACAAGCTTAGCAACTATGTAGTAAGTGCTGGAACGCTGGAAAGTTTCAAAAGGAGACTGGATAGATTCATGGATGATAGAGAGTGGTAGTAACTCTCGACAGGAGCTGCCATGCACAGGCCAACCGGCCTATTGCAGACTCCTTATTTTCTTATGTTCTTATAACATGGTGGTAGTAAGAACACATCAGAATGTTACCATGGTTATCACTTTATATATATATATATATATATATATATATATATATATATATATATATATATATATATATATATATATATATATATATATATATATATATATATATATATATATATATATATATATATAACCGGTCGGAATCACTGGACTTAATTTCTCACTTGACTTAATTTCTCACTTGACTTGGGGTTTATTAATTATTAGATGGACATTGCAGTGGAAGCGCCCCTTGGAGAAAAAACCCGAACCAGCACAAGAACACTTAAATTTACTAACAAAAATGAATTGTCCGTGACCCGTGGAAGGATAGCATCTGTGACTGGGGTGAATGAGACACACTAAAATTTAGACACTTCTATTCCCTCCAACACTACAAACACAATCAAATAATGGTACACCAATATGCGCACCTCTTAACCTGAACTTAAAACGCTACTCTGGGGAATAAAAGTTATACATGATATTGAAATTATTAGAAACTCAGACAATGCCTCATTAGACAACAATAAATACAAAGTATTAAGAAATGTTGCTTGCACACATGAAACGGGCCTTAAGGGTTTTCACAAAATATATATCACTGAGAAAATGGTACAGTATTAAAAAAATAGGAAATTAATTACTCTACAATGAATAGGCCTTAAGGGCACTCAACAAAATAATAATAATTACTGAGAAAATGGTATTAAAAAATCGGAAATTAATAACTCTACAATGAATAGGCCTTAAGGGCACTCGATAAATTTATATTACCCCAACAGATACACACCTCCTAACCTAACTTAAACACTACTCTGGGGAACAAAGGTTATGCCGGAGATTGAAATTATAAAGAAATATTAAATGCATTAAAGGAACTAAATCACAGTATCACTTACAACAGAGGAGGAACCTCATCTGAAAAACAGTTCCCTCATTCTCTGACATCAATTAGTGACACAAACATTAAAAAACAATACTATATCAGTAACTGAGAAAATTGCATTGACTACACACAGCAAGACAATATCAGTCACTGAGAAAATATTATCACTATTTTAAGAAGTTACTGATTCCACCAATACCCGTGAACCATGCTTCTTAACCTAACACAAAGATTCCACAGGCACCCGTAGTTTAAGGCCCAAACCAGCGGTCCGACTAATTACCCAAATGTAGCCGCAATGAAGTCAAATAATGGTCCTACATGAATAAATCGGACTGCTAATCACTTCTCGACTAGTATTTGGTGTCACGAAGTCACAAAAAATTGGTAAACTTTATTTAATCTGAGTTAATAGATCGAGTGTATGTACCTAACCTAACCTAACCTAACCTCGAAGAATGACAAAAATGATTCCGGGACTTAGAAACCTTCCATATCAGGATAGGTTAAAGAAACTTAACTTGCATTCCCTAGAAAGACGAAGAGTGCGGGGAGATATGATAGAAGTATTTAAGTGGGTGAAAGGAA